ACATATAATTACAAAGAAACAAGTCTACATCTGGAGGAAAAGATTTTCAAAGCTGAGCTCATTTTGGTTTGAAGCTTCGAGCAGTGCACATAGATCTAACGAGTGAGAAAATCGGAAAAGTGATTCTTTTCTTAGTGAATAAATTGTTTGGTGAAAGCTATTTTGGTAAATATCATCTTGTCAGTTAGTAATAACAATTAGAAACTTATACTGTACAAAATTATAAACAATAAAATATTGTGTTTTTTGCAAATATATATTTCTCGATGTCACCCAATTCATATAAGTCCAATATCATTATAATACGTTACTTGGTTCCAAAATTATACTAAATAATACGAGGGTCTGTAAATGCACGTTTCCGCCGAGAGTAGCTGGTAGCCAATGTCCAGAATGGTTCGGAGTGCAAAGGGTTCATATTGTCTGCTAAGCAATAACCCTGTTGTGAATTCATAAGCCACATGAGTTTAAGGATCTTTGTTTTATTCATCTCTATTTCTAATGCCAATATAGCACCTGACCAAAAGTAGTTACTCGGTGGATATTTGAATGACTAGAAGATGAATGGATAATTTTACAATGTTAGTGTTATTGAAATTGCTGATAGAAATTGATGTCAGGTAATTCAGTGACAGTGACTCCTCAGAGGCCATTAGAGCAGTGTCACCAGCCGGTGTTCTGGAACCACTGGTGGTCCGCAGGGTCCAGAGGTTAGCGGCCGCTGCTTTAGAGCACCTAGGATTGGGTCCACAAAGTTAGATATTGGTTCCTTGCTCAGTTACCTCCGATATTTCCTTATGTAGATATCTATTTTTTGTAGTCATTATTAGGGATGATGAAATCAGTGAAGCAGACAGCATAGGTTTTTTGGGGGTTTTTTTTTGTTTTGTTTCCAGAGAGAAAAGATAGTTAATAGCACTTGGTAGAGAAAACTCTGGTTTTGTTTGGTTACTGTTCTGCCATATATATATATATATATATAAAATTTTTAATTGATTTTTTACAGAGAGGAAGGGAGAGGGGTAAAGAGTCAGAAACATCGATGAGAGAGAATCATCGATCAGCTGCCTCCTCCACACCCCCTACTGGGGATGTGCCCGCAACCAAGGTATATGCCCTTGTCCGGAATCGAACCTGGGACCTTTCAGACCACAGGCCGAAGCTCTATTCACTGAGCCAAACCAGTTCGGCCTGCCACACTTTTTTTTTTTTTTTTAATATATTTTTATTGATTTCAGAGAGAGTGAAAAAAACCTCAATGATGAGAGAGAATCGTTGATTGGCTGCCTCTTGCACATCCCGCATAGGGATTGAGCCCATAAACTGGGCATGTGCCCTGACTGGGAATTAAACCTTGACCTCCTGGTTCATAGGTCAACACTCAACCGCTGAGCCATACACACCAGGCTGTTCTCATTTGCCTTGCAGCTAAAATAAATTTCCTTATTGCCTTGGTAATGAGTCTGATTCTTATGAACTTTTGGTGACTTGACTTCTAATGAGGAAGAGGAATGTATGGCATTGTTAGCTTCATATTGTTAGTAGTCTCACACTTTGTTTCAAGGACCAGGAGGAATGTTGCAATAAAACTAATATCTAATATTTATTGAGTTAACCTATATGTTAGTTAGATGCTGAGCACATTCACACATGTAACTTGTATTTGTGTCTTGAATTTCTCAGTCTTTTCCCTCAGCAAGTATTCTTTTCTGAATATTGCCTGAGGATTTTGCAAATATAAAAGGGAAACAAGGACAAAAGTGATTTTTGGAAAGTTGAAGATGTCTTCTGAAGGGTTCATTTTTATTTTTAATATATTTTATTGATTTTTTTATAGAGAGGAAGAGAGAGGGATAGAGAGTTAGAAACATCGATGAGAGAGAATCATCGATCAGAGGCATCTTGAACATCCCCTACTGGGGATGTGCCAGCAACAGCAACCAAGGTACATGCCCTTGACCGTAATCAAACCCGGGACCTTTCAGTGCGCAGGCTGATGCTCTATCCACTGAGCCAAACCGGTTTCGGCTGAAGGGTTCAGTTTGGAACTGTCTTATTTCATGATGTAAAATACCGTGATAGTGATTCATGGGGATATTGGCTTTATTAAATATTAATCATGCTTTCTGTCCAGTTCTGCCAGTGTAGGACAAAGGTAGGATTCCAAATACGTGTGTGTGTGTGTGTGTATGTATTAAAGGCCCAGCACATGAAATAGTGCATGGGTAGGGTCCCTAGGCCTAGCCTGCGATCAGAGCCATCTTCCTCTGGCTCGCCAGTCCCCAGATCCCAGTCCCCAGTCCTGACCTGCCACTGCTCACCCTGGTTCCCCGTTGGCCATGCAGCAATCGGAGCCTTCGGGCCAGGGGGAGGTACCAAGAGGTTGGCTGTTTCCCCTACTCGCCAGTCCCCAGTCCCACCCTGTTGCCACCCCTTGTTCCCCGTGGTTTCCTATTTGCCATCAAGCGATTGATCTGAGCCTGTGGGAGGTGGGGGGGACCAAGAGATGGTCAATGCACCTCATAGCTACTGATGGATCCGTCGTTCTGATTGTTATGCCATTATGGTCACTGGCCTTTTATTATATAGGAGGGGCTCTCCTTTTACACAATTCCCTTTTTCATTTTTATCAATGAGCTTTTAAAAAGAAAAGACAATTTTGGGGAAATGGGGTTATTATGGCATCAGTCATTTTGCTTGCTATTTAAATCTTGAGTGACAGGATGGAGGAAATGAACTATCTTGATCCATATATTGATCAATCTGAACATCCAATGCCTGTGTTTAGTTAGTGAGGTTTCTTTTCAGATTCTGGATGCAAATTGTATGTTTTTAGGAGTTTTCATTTAATAGGAAGTAAGGGCATTTCAAGTTCTAGCACTATTCTTCTGTCACATGAGCATGCATGGGAAGAATAAAGAGTAAGTGGTTGAGGGTTTGCAGGAGAGGGCTGAGAGTAGGGGGTGGTGAAGAACGGAGGGTTTGTCAGTGCATATGACACTGAGCTAGAGGAGTCAGTGCTGCCTGCAGATGCATAACCCCATTTGTGCACTTGAGCATGACCTGGGGGGCATTGGCCTGATGAATACAGAGAGAGATGCGTTTTGATCAAGGTAATTTCCCTCAGATGGGTCTCATCATCCCATGAATCAAAGCCTGTCAGCAAGGAGCTAAAGATGGAGTGAAGTTTATTGTACGATTGTCTTCATGCGACACGGTCACGCTAGAAGGGTCAAGTGAGAGAACATTAGAACCGGGTTGATTTACTGGGCCTGTTATGCACTTTCCCTGCAGGGCAAGAAGGAAAGAGGCTTTAGGAGGGGAGCTGAGAGCTTCTGGGTGTGAGCAAAGAGCAGGCATGCACAAAATAAACCCGCACTGCTTTCTGCGAGTGAGGGCTAGGCAGGCTCTTTGTAGGGAGTGGGGAGAATCTGTATTTTTTTATTTTTTTATTTATTTTTTTTCACTTAGAGCCCCTGGTAGATTTAGAGCAGATGTTCTAAAAAACATTGTTTGGCTGTCTCCTGCATTCACCGCAACCGGAGATTGAACCCGCAACCTGGATATGTGCCCTGACTAGGAAATGAACCCATGACCCTTCGGTGCACAGGATAGTGCTCAACCAACTGAGCCACACTAGCCAGGTCCAAATTTTGTAGTTGTTAGCAAACCATTCCAGCAAGGGCATACTCTAAGTTAGTTCATGTTTTTATTCTGTCTCTTTGTGAAATGAGATTAATACTTCTCTAGTTCTCATTTGAGGATTTTTAAAAAATTGTCAAGTCAGCTGATTCAGCTAAAATGAGACCAGCTACATTCACTTTGTCCCCAGAAATAAACAGCTGCACAGCTGTCTTAGCTGGTTTCTGAACACAATTATGTCTAACTGACCTCCTCTACCATGTTTCTTAGGGAGGACTTGTGTTTCCTTGGAGTGTGCCAAAAAGTACACCACTATAGTCTATTACAATGAAGCCATACTTGCTATCATCTGAAAGTAGTGCTGTAAGAGCCTCTGTATAGAATTTGTCATACAAATACAATAATATATTAATTGGTTTAAAAGGTTCATAGTCAGTGTTGACTTTCTTTTCCTTTACTTCTGTTATAATTGTACCACAGTAAACAACTAGGCCATTTGGAGGTACTTTGTTTTAAAGTTTGAATCTTTGTTATACAGATGTAATGGTTCCCAGGACTGAAAAATGGTTTTTTAATTGAGGAAGGGAAGGAGGAAGGATGGGGGGAGAGAGACAGACAGACACATCAGATACCTCCCATATGCACCAAGACTAAGGATTCAACACAAAACTTGGATAAGTGCTCTGACCTAGAATCAAAGTCCCCTACCTTTTGGTGTATAGGGACGCTCAACCCAATTGAGCCACACTGGCCAGAACCAACAGACTGCTAACATTTTTGCCATTCCTGAAATCTGGTCTTTAGTATTCAGGATCAATGATATCATGCTTGTGCCATTGCCATGAGCAGTTCCGTAGTTGTTTTTTTTATTATTTTTTTTTTTTTAGTGAGTTTTAATTGATTTTTAGAGCGAGGAAAGGAGAGGGAGAGATAGAAAAACTTCAGTGTGACAGAGAAACATCAATCAATTGCTTCCCGCATGCATCCCAACTGAGGATCATACCCACAAACTGGGTATATGTGCTGACCAGGAATGGAACTGGACACTTACCCAACAGAGCCACAATGTCCAGGGCTGCCTTGAAGTTCATAATTTGTTTCGTGATCTTCCAGTCTCCCTGTTCCTGTCAGCTGGGGTCATCCCACCATCTTTGAGGCCTTAAATTTTTAGTCATTTTAGAGACAAAATGCTGTATATTAGCTTATTCATTTTCTTATCCATTTTTTTCTGTTTGTGTGATCCTTAGTTCTTACCATAAGGTTGGCTGGCATATTGTGATCCACAAGTTAGTTTTATTCCCATTTACCTTGTGAATGGAAGCTAGCTTGTTTCAACCTTTTTCTTTGTCCCTGAACAGTCTGAAGATGACGAGAAGCTGAAAAAGAGGAAGGAGCGATTTGGAATTGTCACAAGTTCAGCTGGAACAGGAACCACAGAGGATACAGAGGTAAAATATACATAAATGCTTCGTAGAGCCCTTGAAGGGAAATGAGGATGAACAAGCTGAGTGGAGAAACACTATTATTTCCCTGGCCTGATGAGAAGATCTTTTGTCCTTTGCTTGATAGCTGTTACAATAGATGGTACTTTCCTCCCCGGCAGTTTATTTTACTCATTAGATTCTACATATGTGATATTGTCTTACTCTGTTTTATTTTACTTACCATAATAATCTCCAGGTTATGGTACTTTTTTTTTTTTTTTTTTTAAATCAATCTTTATTGTTCATATTATTACAAAGGTTCCTCATTTCTTCCCCCCTCCACCAGGTTCCCACCCCACTTTCTGCCCCCTCCCCATCCCCCATTGTCCTCATCCATAGGTGCAGTTTATGTTCAGTCTCTTCTTCCCTCCCTTTCCCCAATAGTAAATCCCTTTTCAGATAGTAAATCAGTTACTTAGCATTTTCTCATATCAATAATACCTCCACATGCCCAATGATACACTTCACACAAAAGACATTTCCCAATAGGTCACCAGCCTCATCCAGGCCCCACCCAAGGCACTCACAGATCAACACCCCAGCCCTATACTAACTCAACACATCCAGATCTAAGCCTTCATCACTTGGTTCAGCAGACCCTCAAGTTCCCACGAAAGTTTCCAGCCATGTCTGAGAGGCAGCCGTGGGGCAGGGGCAGGCAAGGAGCGAGCTGTTCTGGGCCTGGCCGCTCAGGGCCTGGCCTCTGTTGCTCTGGTTCATTCCACAACCAGCTGCTCTGGGTCTGGTCACTGCTGCTCCCGACCTAGTTGCTCTGGACTTGGCTGCTGCTGCTCCGGGCCTGGCCGCTCCCAGCCTGGCAGCCGCTGCTCCGGGCCTGGCCGCACCCGACCCGCCTGCTCCCCCAGGCCTGGCTGCTCCCAGCCTGGCAGCCGCTGCTCCGGGCCTGGCCGCACCCGACCCGCCTGCTCCCCCAGGCCTGGCCGCTCCCAGCCTGCAGCCGCTGCTCCGGCCCGGCCGCATATGGTACTTTTCTTAACCTCCGTTTCATCATCTGGGATGTAGAGATAGTACCTACCTTGAAGTGGTATTTTAAGCATGAAATGTTTCTATGTAAAAACAGATGATTCTATGTAGAATGCTTGACATAACACCTGTCATATTGAGAGTATTCAGTAAGCAATGTCTCTGATAGTCAGCCAAGCATATTTCTTTGATCATTTAATGACTCTCATATCCAACCCAGACACAAGTATAGTTGTGCCTAACTCCCATCTGGAATAGGACAATAGACTCAAATGAGATTTATTTTTCTTATCACTTTGTTTACAAATAGTTTCTCAAAATGAAAGAGTGGCTTTTTTATTTAAGACTTATGTTCAAGCCCTAATGAGTTTGGTTCAGTGGATAAAACTTTGGCCTGTGGACTCAAGGGTCCCAGGTTCAATTCCATTCAAAGGCATGTACCTTGGTTGCAGGCACATTCCAAGTAGGGGGTGTGCAAGAGGCAGCTGATTGATGTTTCTCTCTCATCAATGTTTCTAACTCCCTATCCCTCTCCCCTCCTCTCTATAAAAAAATAAAAAATATTTTTTAAAAAAATGTGTTCAAAACAAACAAACAAAAAAAGACAAGTTCATCCACATTCCAGCTTCCCCTAGAATAACAACTCCCATTCACTGACCCTTAAACTTTGGAAGACTGCTCAATGAACAGACAATACTGATTTGCTGATTGAAAGGTTCATAGTCAGTTTTTTGAGGGTTTTTTTGTGGGTTTTTTTTTTTTATATTTTATTGATTTTTTTACAGAAAGGGATAGAGAGCCAGAAACATCGATGAGAGAGAATCATCGATCAGCTGCCTCTTGCACACACCCCACTGGGGACGTGCCCACAACCAAGGCACATGCCCCCGACCGGAATCGAATCTGGGACCCTTCAGTCCGCAGGCCAACACTCTATCCACTGAGCCAAACCGGTTTCGGCATAGTCAGTTTTCTTAATATTTTGATTATTATTTTGCTTGTTACAGATACATGAGAATATCTGTAATGGAGATCGAGTATCACCTGAGGTGTATATAAGGAACAGTTGAAATAATATGTTTTGAAATATAGAAATTATTTGGGTGGAAAGAAGGGTAGAAGGTTCTTTCTCCCATTTAATCCAAATTTACTTCTTTCCATCTAGCTCTTGAGATATCCTCGGTTTTTGGGGTGGGGGGGTTTTGTTTTGGACAGTCAGGCCCGCACAGCAGCTATTCCTAGGCCTCCAAATACAAAGAGCATAAAATCTTCAATACCGATGTAATAAATGGGGAGAGAAGGTGAGTCCCCAACATGGATCTCTTAAGGGAGGACATATTGGAGAGAGAGCACAAAATGGGGAGGGGGCGGAGGAAAGAAACACCTTTTTGTTCTAAGAGTGACTCAAAACAGCACCAAATCCATCCTCATTCAACCACTGCCCCCAGCAAAGTGGAGACTTCTTTTTTCATTTCATTTACACAGGAGATTTAATTTAGATTAAAAAGAAAAGCTAAGTGTATACAGGACCAGACCACTCCACCTCACCTCCACCAAATAGCATTGGTCAACCCTTGTCCTCTGAAATCTCCCATCTCCCCACTGACTAGACTTTCCCCAGCCTGTTAAAAGAGTCCACTATTTCGAGCCTAACTTGCTACAAGGCTGAATGGTCCTCTCTCCTTAAGGCATCTTTCCATTTTCTACTATTTTTCTCCTCTTTTCTTCCTGGCCCATCTCCTTATAATCTTCTCCCCGCTCACCCTGCTTTTCCACTGAACCTCCCCAGCTCTAACTGGATAACAAGAGAAATTCAGAAATGAAATCTTTGGCTGCCAAGCTCAAGCCTGGGCCTTCCCTCCTCCTTCAACCATGTGATAATTCATGTGAATTTGGAGTAAAGCAGCCAGGAACCCAGGCCACTGTTGTCTTGCAATCTGATTTTTCTCTTATTGCTTTTTCCTTATAGGCAAAGAAGAGGAAAAGAGCAGAGCGCTTTGGGATTGCCTGATGAGAAACTCTTAATGCTTTCTGTTCTTCAGTGGTTTCCATCTCTGACTCTTCTTGGTCACATATATACCTAAATACACAGTCATGTGCCTAGGTGCTGCCTCACAATGAGAGATCATGTACCTAAGGTACATCCATGAACTAAGTAGCAGTTTGACTTACTGCTGTTCCAACTTTAAGGTTGTTGTTTTGTTTTGTTTTTTAATTATTATTTTGCTTGTTAATAAAAGTCATTTAGAAAAGAGAACAGTGTGTTTTATTAGGTACTGCTTTGAGTTCCTAGAGTCAGATTCAATCAGCTATGGGGATCTTCAGGGATAGATATAGGGAATTAGCCATAATGCTTTTACCCATTAGAAAAGAGGTTAAAGAGAAGGTTTGAGTCCATCAATATATTTTTTTATTGATTTCAGAGAGAAAGGAAGAGGAGAAAGATATAGGAACATCAGTGATGAGAGAATCATTGATTGGCTGCCTCCTGCACGTCCCTACTGGGGACCAATCCTGCAACCGGGACATATGTCCTGACTGGGAATTGAACCATGACAATTAACCACTGAGGTCAACAATTAACCACTGAGCCATACCACTGGGTTGACTCCATCCCTTTAAGCTTATTTATATTCCCTCATGTTCACAGGCATCCTTTTACCTCTTTATCATTAATGAAGAGGCCAAGTTTTACCCCGTGTCTTTGCTTCTTCCGACTCATGTGACCCTTTGGGATGCATAGGGAGAATACCATGGGTTTTAGGATATTCATGGGATGTAAAATACAAGGGCTAATGATTGATAGTATCATAGAATGGAGTCCAGGAAGGGTCTTATTTTCAAAAGTGATCTGGTGTGATACTGTCTGGTTTCAACCAAAGCCAATATATGGGACCCTGTTGGTAGGCAGTTCAAGGAAGGAAATGGGCTGGGTACCCCTCAGAGCTAGAAGAAAGTGTAGGGAATTAAAAGCATGACAGGATGTCAGAGGTGTTAAGCATTATTGCCTGGATCATTGGGCACATAAGCCATGCACAGGAGGCTTCTACTTTCTAATCAAACCTTGTGCTAGTTTGTCTTCTGTTGCAGAAGTATACTATTCCAGCTTTGGCAGTAACATTTCTTAAGTATTATTAAGATCCATTTTACTTGCTGGGCCTCCTACTTAGAAAGGTTTGGCTTTCCCTAAGCAGGCTGCTTGTTTGCATTTGGTTTCACATAGATTGAGATCTATTTAAACTTTTTTGATTTGTTGGCATAAGGTTTCTCCTCTTAATCTTTATTTCTGGACCTACATAAGGTTGGTTTTTGTTTGGTAATAAAACTTAAGAGCTTGACACCTTACCTGAAGACTTTGGTACAATAATCAGATGCTGTGTTGCTATGGTATAATTTCTTGTTCCCATTTCTACTGAAACCCTCTGCCTTATTTTGTGATGAATAGGTAATAATTTGATCCTCTCTTCCCACAAAGTGTTTTTGGTTGCTGAGGAGGGTAGAGACCTAAGTTTAAGACACTTTAGGAAAATTGCCTTGGAGAGCAGATCCAAAGGTTAACCATTTGTTGTACATTTTGCCCCATTCTGAGACTTTGGGAAAGTGAATAAAAGGGAATTCTGTAAATGTTTCTTTCCCTCTGGCTTCTTCTGTCTGCCTGTTTTGTTTTTTTTCCTCCAAGCCCCGATTTGAGACTAATTTTTCCTCTCTCTACTCTGAAAATGGAAGCAGAAAGAATTAGTTCTGTTTTGCAGCTTGAGAGAAGTTAGAGATTTAGTAAGGGTTTTCTACTCAAGGATTGTAAAAACTAGTAATAGGTAAAGGGGTGGAGCATATAGTGATAATGGAGTGGACAATGGATCCTTTAGTGTTATCTCTATCTTATATCTCTCCTTATCTCTACCATATTTCTCCTTATCTCTTTACTTCCTGGTTCATAGGTCAGTGCTCAACCACTGAGCCACACCAGCCTGTCTCAGTCCATCCCTTTTAGCTTATTTACATTCTCTCATATTCACAGGTGTCCTTTTTCCTCTATCCTCCTTGGAGAGGCCACTTTACCTCCTTATCTTCTCTAAGCTTCCATAAAAGCACTAAATCTTCTCTTTCTGAAGTCTAATCATTCTTTTCCTGATTCAACTCACTTTCCCAAAATCTTTGATATTGTGGATTTTTTACTAACTTTTTCATCTCATCCTAGCAGCTGTTCTTACGTTAGTCAGAAGTCTGTCATCTCCAAGCTTGATCACCAAATCCTCCTCTTCTTCTTTCATAGTCATTCCACACATACTTTTTGAGCATGAATAGATCAAGATGCCTGTCTTTTCCACTAATTTAGTATTTAAATAGCCCCTTTTAAGACATTAATGGGCAACCAGGCTTCCAATCCTTTCTCTTGGGTCCAAGTAACTTTCCTTCCATGTTTCCCCAAAAATAAGACATCCTCCGAAAATAAGACCTAGTGCATGGAAAGTTAAGACATCCCCTGAAAATAAGACCTAGCGCAACTTTGGAAGGAGAAAAAATTAATATAAGACACTGTCTTATTTTCGGGGAAACAGGGTATCCCCCAGTCTCACTATATAGCTGATCCAAGATCCAGGTGTGGTTAGTTGACTGAGGCCTTTTTTTTTTTTCCCCTCCCTGTCCTGAAGCTGTGACATTCTCTGCATACCTGGAAGCTCTTAATGAGGGAGTCTATAAAAGATGTGGAGGGAACTAGCTTCCTCAGCTGTAAATCTACACCTTTTTATGGTTCTCCAAGGATCATTCTCTTCTCCACCGTCACTCTATAAACTGTCCTTCCCCCACACCAAATCCTGGGAACTTCTGAAGATTCAAGGTTAGAGCTTCTGTGGAGCATAAGGGGTATAGAAAGATGTGAATAAGAGCAGGATTTCTTGATGTTGAGCCCTGTTTCCGTTTCTAACATGAGAAACAGATGAAGGGAAAGAAGGAACTTAACTGTTTTCCCTGTTGTATGAGGGCCTCTTAATGGCAATGCCATTCACCTGATTATTGAAATCCATCAGAAACTAACCTCCACATCTCTTGCTACATTTCCACACTTGTTTTTAAACTCCAAAGAAATTACCAAATAATGGTGGAATTCACACCTTACCAGACTCTTGGAGCCCAGGTTGCTCCCAGCTTTATTTCTTATCCTTTCTCAACTACTTAGGTGTAATTGCTTGTTCTACCACCCTACCTCTACTGGCTCTGAGACCCTGGACAAATTAATTGTTCTGTGGCTCCAGACCCTGTACCAACAGCAACCCTGTGAGAATTGATATGTACTCGGCACAGTCTGTTTACCATAGTTTTCATAGTATTTTTTCAATAAATAATAAACCTTAATTTTAACTAGGTTATTTATAGTTAGATTTCCTTTCCCCTAAATAGGTCCCAGCTAAAGGGTAAGGATTGAGTGGATTAGGTTGAGTATGTGTATGTGTGTGTACATTACATATGCAGGTACATTATTAGGAGGTTCAGAGAGTGGAAAGAGGTAGGAGTCCATATTGCTCGCTTACCCCCAGCTCATTGGTAAGAAAGCTGACATTATTGCCTGGGGCAGACTTCCCTATTTCAGCCTCATAGAGAGCAGAAGCTGTACATAGATGCCACTGCCTGCGGTGTTTAGCTTGGGGCCCTGACATGCCCAAATGGAGAGAGTATAGGCTAGCTACTCATGCATTGGTTTGGAGGATGTTGGGGATAAAAGTCATCTTGCGGTTTCTTCTGAATGTCCTCAAAGTAGGAAACAGCAGTAGGGGGAGAAAAGTGTTAGGTCAGATAAAACGTTAGGGGTAGGTGGGGGTACAGCAGCTCCTTGGGAGGACACAGTGTGTAGCACTTTTTTCTCTAAACCTCGGTCTTGTAGTTTGGTCTGAGGTGAGGTCATTCTGTAGATAAAACTAACAAGATGGGAAAGCATGGTGGCATATTGAACCTTCGATGGCCCTGTCCCCCCATTTTGGATCAGATGGATGTTGCAGTAGCTTTTCTTTTTCTTTTTTCTTTTTTTTCTTTTTTTAATGTAAGAGAAGATTCCTTTGCTACACTCAACTCTTATGCCTTGGAAGTGTGCTCTAGGTTCACGGTAGATGTTTTTGAGATGCTTAACCACTTTTGGTACACTGTCTAGGTGAATAGCCATGTTAGCTTGGTTTGTGGATTTTGGTAAAACTTTGTTGAGGAAGCCTAGGATTTAGAAACTACAGAATAGGATAAATGTTAGCAGGATGGTCTCAAGAGTATGTTTAGATCTTCCATTCTCAGGAAGCTGGAAGAGGGTTTTGTAATGCTCAGGACTGTTTTTGATAAAGCTCTCTAGAGAGTTGTTCTAGGTCCCCTCCCTTGGGCTGCGTGTCCCAACCATCACCCCACATGACCATAGTCGTTTTCCTTTCCCCCATGATCACCATCTTCTTAGTTCTTGAGCACAAGGTTACGTCCTCTCAGATTCTTTTCTGTTTCTGGTCTGAGGTATAAATGTTGGTGCTTGGTTAGGGAGAAGAGCTCATCACTGAATTCTAAATTCTTTGACTGCTTTTATTTTTCTTTTTTCAGGTTCAAGTGCTGGATTGTGTCATGTGACCATCCCAAAACTCAGAGCACCCTATGGCCATCTTTGCCCTCTGTCACATAACTTGAAAACTGCCAGATGGCCTTTTTTGCAATGGTTCCCTCCAGGAATCCTTGATCTCAGTGAAAAAGTCCTTTCCCGACATTCCAGTGCCCATCGGCCCATACTCCTCAGACACCCTTAACAAACAAAGGCAATCACGCACACAGGGTAACAAATACACAAAGTAAATAATAATTACACTAATTATGATCTGAGGGCACTGGTGAGGTCCGCACACATCATAAGGTGGGAGGGGGTGCTAGTTCCCATTAGGCCACTGGGCTATGCCCCCCGGCCTTTTTGGGGGTGGGAAGGACCAGGGAAAGGAGACTTCAACTCACAGGTTTATGTTCATAAGAGAAAGACCCTCCCCCGATGGTCTTTATTTGGTGGTGGTAAAGGGGCATATTCTAAGTGTCCCCAAATCTGGTGCCCCAACTCTATAGAATTTGAAGAGGGAAGTCATCTGATGCCTATTGCCAAACCCCACCCTGTGCCAAGAAGGCATCTTCTGTTCTTCACTTCTCTGTTCCTCTCCTTCCACCAAGAAAAAGTTCTCCGAGATAGGGCCCCAAGGAAGGATAAAGAATAGAGTCAGAGAGGAGAGCCTGGGGGTTAACATAGCTGCTGTATGCGAGGAGGCGAGTTGAGAGTTGAAATGCTTAACAGCCCTGCCCATTCCTATACTGAAACACCGCATCTCACTTTCACTATGGGAATGGGAACAAGATACTAAAGCTCAACACTACCTTCCCCAGGGTGGTCACAGACCTCTGCCCCTTCCACTGGCTGGACCAGGGCGGAGGGTCATGCTCTTGGGAAAAACAAGCCTTCCCGGTCAGCCTCCAGCTTGGATTAACCTTGTTCAGTACCGTTTGTATCAAGAACCATCACTACTGGCTCTACTTAAGGATAACAGTTTTACTGAAGGTTCGTTCCCCCTCCTCTCCTGACCCTCTAGGCTCTTGCCTGGAGCTAAGAAGTCTGGTGGTGAGGTATGGATAGGTGTGGATCAGGAGATTCTTGGCTCCTTGGCTTCAGGCACTGTCTAGCTGGGAGGCAGAGGGGAACTGTACTCAAGCCTGCGACTCCTCTAAGCCTCACATCTCTTCACCACTGCTCTGGTGCCCTGGTTATCTGTCCCACAGCGAGAGGTATTTTATGTCCATAAAGTGCCCGTGGTAAGTGCTCAGAATTCATCTCTTGGCTGTGGCGGGTGCTGCTATTTTTCATTCCATCGAGGGGAAGAAACTGAGGCACAGTGAGTCCAGAGGAGGGTGGGTCAGGATTGTGGGAGGAATGAATAGGCCCAGCTAGTGACTTGGAGTGGTAACCAATCCCTGCCTGCGTCCCAGCCTTCCAAACCAGCCAGGGAGTCTCCGTCCCCGTCCTCTGCTCTAATTGGTCTTGTCAGATGCTTTTACCACTGTATTGTTCCCATCCCTGCTGCCAGGTACTGCTATATTCCAAGAATAAAACATAAAAATAATTATAGACACTCTGCTCCCTTATTCTCCCCACTTCCACCCTGAGCTTTGGGGTTGAGGGTCTAAAATGCCCCCCCACCCCCAATCCCTTCCACCTTGGCCTGCTGGCTCTATTTCTTAGCCCAGAGCAGTAATTTGGATTCAGATGCCTTGTAATCATCAGCCTCCTCACTACTCCTTTCTTAACCCTTCCTAATCCTTCCCAGAACACTCTCTACTCTTCTCATTGACCTGAAGATAGAGGCTGGGAGCAAGGGCATTCCACAGGCTCTTTGGTCTCTCTCTCGGCTGGAGGGAGTTGGGGCATAAACAGGCCACACCCTCTGGGTAAATAACAGTACTATGAGGGTGGACCTGAGGGTTAGTTTAGTGGCTCTCATATAGATTCTGGATGCTGACGGCTGGCTCCCCCAGCTCCTAAACCCTAACCGCTTACTGTTTCCGTGACCACTGGAATTCAGTTCCACCCCTTTGGCTCAGGAAGGTCAATTAAGTAGGGTGATTATGGATTGGAAGCTTCACCATATGTCAGCCCTCTTGTCCTTTACTCCCATTCCCAACCCTGGAGGCTTTACACAAGTGCTTAAGTAGGTGGGTATTGAGGGAGGACAGGGTTTAGGGAATAAGGGACAAATGGGGCACAGTGAACAGGGGCCCTTCTATTTCAGTAAAGCCAAATACCAAAAAATGAAAAGTCACAATAAATAAATAAATAAAATTCCAAAATCCTCACTTTTGCTCCTGCCCTCACTTCCTTTCCCCTGGCCACTGCTAGAGAGAGAAAGGGAAGAACTAAGAATGGATTTTTGATTTCCTTTCCTACTGAAAATGGTAGTCAGGGGGTCTCCCCAAAACATACCAAGCCCCTCACCTTGCCCGTGGAAGAAAGGAGGCTTGGTATGGTGCCTTCTCTTATTACTCCCTTTCAGTCTCTTCCTCAGTATCTCTGCCTAGTCTGTCTCTCCTGCCTCTCCATCCCTTCGCCTTCTCACTGCTGCTCTTAGTGCTCCTGTCTCTATCCCTCTGCTCAACCTCTGTCTCTATGCCTCTCTGTCTTCTTGCAAAACCTTCTCACCTGCAAACCTCAAACACTCCCCACCTGACCTGTCCCCTCCTCTTCTCCTTTTCCCCCAAACCTCTCACCCTTCAATCCCCACCTGCCTCCCTCTATTGTATTGCACACTGCTTGGGCAGGGAACAAGATGTGATGCTCATGAGAAGAGGTGGAGGGAGATTTAGGGCCTGTGGGGGAAGGGGGTCAGGGCTGGGATCTAGGGGTAGGGTCTGTGGAGGAGGCATCCTCTGTCCCCCACCTTAGGAGCAGCCACAGCGATCCACCACCATGCCAGGGATCTTGCCGTAGATAATCTGCTGCTTGTCATTGAAGTAGAGCATGTTGATTGGGGACATCTTGGTGGGAGTACAGCAGGGCCCAGCAGAACCTCTCGGATTAGCCTGTTGCACCAGGTGGGTGTGCGGATACTTTTGCATGAACATGTACTCGCACTGGCCCGAGCAGTAGTTGGCCTTGTAGCGTTTCGGTGCGATGATCCAGTCCCAGCCGAAAGCCTCGAAGTCCACGGTGAGGGGGTATCGGCAGCAGCGGGACTCACTCGAGTGCTCATCGCAGTCCAGGCCCAGGTTCCGCCGGGAGCGCTTTGTGTTCTCTAGGACTCGAAGCTCCATGAAAGGGTGCTGTGATGGGAGAGGAGACAGAGATGTGACAGAGTCCTGCAGGGTCCGCACTCTTCTTTCTCACCTGCCTCACAGGGGCACGAGAAGAGACCACTTCTCAGCTTTCCTGCTGCTCCCGTCCCCAACCAGTGTCTTCTGCCCACTTTTCTTGCCAGCTAGCCATCTCTCCAATTCACCTTTCCTAATTCCTCCCTTGGCAACCTAACTTTCCTCAGCTCCTTGGCCAGAGGCCTCATCAAGAGTCCATTTTGTGTTCCCACGGGTCTCCCATTAACTCACACCTTCACCCCAAATCCAGTTTTCAGCTGTTGGCCTGGCTTGGATATCTGAAAAGTGATAGTTGCCACTCCCCTTCCCTCCCAAACTCCTCCTCTAATCAGCTTCTTGGCCCCAGATAAATAATGCTAGTCCCCAACCCTCTTCACATTCCTGGTCTACCTTTCCCAACATCCCACCTCCTCAGGTTCAGGTTACACATATCCGCCACCATCTCGGGCTCCCTGCTCACCAGCCCCTCGGCTCCTGGCCCCAGAGAGGTGACAGCCAGGTCTGTGCCGCTGGGGTCGAAGGCGTTGATCTCGATGCCCCAGTTGCTCTGCGGCTGGCGAAACCAGCTGTGGAGCACTTGCTTGAAGTCGATGCTCTGCCAGTGGCCGGAGCGGGAGTGCAGCTCAATCTTGAGTGATCGGATACGGATGTGACGTCGGCCTCCCCCACCTCCCCCAGGAGTCCCTTCCCCAGTTAGGGGTTTCAGCCGCAAAATCTGCAGGTAGACTGTGGCTGGGCGGGGCACGGGCCGCAGGTACACCCACAGCTGGGCCTTCAGTACCTTCGTGAACATCACCTTGGGGCTGAAGTGGAAATGACAGCAGAGAGGGCTGCCATCTGTCTGCACCGCAGGGTCCGCTGATGAGAGAGAAGGGGGCACAAAGTTAGCCCTGGGTGGCACTGGCAACCTGGGCTCCTCAGTCCAAGTTAGACTCCTCCTGACTGCTCTATCAGGTCTTATTGATCTGAACCCATTCTCTAATCCAGTTGCCCTAATACATAGTTCTCCTCTACCAGATAACCTGCAAAGATGGTTATTAGAGATTCTTCCACCTGCAGCCTTCTCTCTCTCCAACTTTCCCCAACATATAGATAGGGCTCTAACTTCTGAACCTTTGATGCTCTTCAAAGAAGCCAAACCTCTGTCCTCACACCTGCTGTCCTCAGCTCACTTTGTCCCAGTTTTGCTCTGTTTTGTCCAGTGGCCAGGTGGGAACCTGGCATAGCACATCCCCCAACACACACACACACAATAAAACAAAACAGATGGCCTCACAGAGTGGATAACTCATGGTCCAGATAGAGAGCATGGGCTAAATTTATTCCGTGAAGTAAATCAGATCTAGGCTTCCTGGCATCATTCACACTAGAACTAACATGCCTGGGAGTCAAACTACTCAAGCACTCCTGTGCACCTGGCTCTTCCATTAACCTGGAAACCAGCTTTCTCACCACCATTGCTACCTCTGCTTTTGAAAGGGGAATACTACCTCTATGTTGTTTCTTCCTACTTGCCCTAAGCATCAGAAATAATATTCAACACCCCAGATTAACTGTAATCACTCCTTTCTCCCCTGAGTTTCCTGTCCAGTGCCAACAACTCTTTGCAAAGGTTAACATCCAGACTTTACATTTTGGCCCATTTCCCCTTGTTCTGGACCATAAATTGATTCTTCTTGGACCTAAGAGATGATTCTTAATATCTGCCTCTGCTTCCATTGCAGCTCCTTTCAGTTCCCTTTATAAGCCCTTAAGTCAGTTGGAAATGCCTTAAATCATGTTTTCAAAGGACAGAGAGGAAGAACCGGGAAGGAGCTTCCAGAGCCATGTAGGAATGATTAGGCAGTCACGTCCGTATGTGTCATGTCCAGGTCTCTGAGTTCTGCATAATCATGGAGGACTTAGCATCTGCGGTCGGGGTCCCACAGCATTTCCCCTCCCCCAACCTCACCCCAGAAGAAAGAGGGTCCAAGTGAGATGGGGAGGAAAGTGCTTAATCTTCATATATTCAGGACGCAAGACACCATGTTCCTCTGCAGCTTCCTTCCCCGGGTTCTCTGAGATCCCAGGGCTCTGGTTGTGCTCCCAGTTAATCTCCCGCTGGAGCTGTGGGGTGCCGTGGGGTAGGGTTCCAAAGTGGGAATTCAGAAATCAGGAGAGCTGGGGCAGGGGAGCTGCTGGGGAGATGGGGGAGTGACAACCCAGATAGCACACTGTGCCTGATTTCAGCATAAGGACTCTTATTTTCCTGGGTGTCTTCCCCATTAGGCACCAATCTCCCTGAGTGTGAACACTGTTGATCCCGTGTGTTCAGCTCATTGCGGCTTTGGTGCCTCCATAGTTCCAGGCAGTGATCACTGAATGCATGCTGAATGAACTCCCTAAACTCCCTATCTTAAATTATCCCGGCCAGTGCCTGAGAGTCCTTCCTGACATCTAAATACCGTCCTCTGACTACAGTTGAAATGGGTTTAATCACTGCCTGACTTCTCATTAGCTAGCATCTGACCTTACCACCAAACTTCTCAGTGATACAGATAATCTTGCTCCATAGGAGTCCTGAGCATTAAAGAATGTGGAAAAAAAACAATAGCTTCTCAATAAATGCTGGTTTATTGTTAGTTTTCTAAGCTGACCCAGGCTTTAGAGATAGGGGACTGGGCCCCAGAGCCCCCCACCCCCACCCCAGGGAATCACCACACACTTCTCACCAGTGGCTGTGGGAGTCAGGTACTACAGGGGGACAGGACTAAACGTGTTAAGAAAGAAAAGGGAAGGGGAGAAGATGAGAGACTGGAGATGGCGAGGGAGGTAATAGCAGAGACTGTTAGAAGAGATAGACAGAGAGACAGAGGGGAGAAGGTAGAGGAAGAAGAAATCAGCTTGGGGTGTGGAGACTACTGGGAGAAATGGGGACTTTAAAGGAGTGCGTGAGGGTTAAGCAAAAGGAGGGTGGTAGCCAGACTTAGTGGGATGAAGAGAAAGGACAGGAGGATACATGGGGAGGAACAAAGGAGAACCAGGTAGAGCCACGGAGGGAAACAAGAGGCTGAGAGAGTCCCCAACACACGCATAGGCCCAGCTCCCAAGGGGAGGGAAGGAGCCACATCTGTGTTGGATTGATCGGGTTGGTGGCAGGCAGCAGGTCAGGTTTAGTAGGCGGTGCTGGTCTGGAGAGAGGTCATTGCACTATTTTCAGCAAAAGCCCAACCCCCTCGCTGCTCACCACCTCGCCCTCCCCCCCACTCACATACACACTTCTAACCCCGGCTGCAAGGCCTAGGGGCAGGAGGTTGGGCTGAGGACCGGGGCCTCTCGGTGTAGGGAGGAGAGAGAAACTGAGGGGCTGGGCTTGGCTCCCAGAAGGGCAAGGGGGCTGGGTTCCCAGGATGAAGGCTGGGGTGGGAGAGCCTAAGAGGGTGGAGGGAACTAGGGCAGGCACTGCAGCCTAGGAGAGGTGGGGGCTGGGGTCCGGGGTTGAGGACTGGGGGAGGGGAGGAGGGGGAAGGGAGCGGAGGCCATCTCTGCTGACAAACACCTCCCCCGATTAGCAGAGCACAAGTCTCTTATTAAAGCGGGTCCCTGGGGATTAGACTATAAAAGTCTCTTTTTCCTTTTCCCCCCTCTCCCTCCCCTCCCTCCCCTCCACTCCCCCTCCCTCTCTTAAGAGCTCAGCTTGGCTCTTAAAGGGGACGTACAACACCTGGCCAGAGACCCAGTCCCTAGTTATCCAGGTCCTGGGGTGGCATGAGGGTGTTCCTCTCTCTTCACCGTGACCCAGCCTAACCTGCACTTCCCAACCTAAGCTTGCAGAGTCCTGGACGGTTCATTTCCCGATGGCATCCCCTTTCCCAGGGCTAACTCTGGACTCAGCCGCACTGGTGAAGGGATGCTGGGGACAGAAAAGAGCAAGGGAAGCCCGCGGCTGTCACCCATCTGGAAATCCTCGGTCCTACCCCACATAGACCAGAGGGTCTTTTCCAGAAATTCCTCCGTGACCCTGCGTCACAAACCCCCACCCCCACCGCTGCCCTCAGTCAGTCTCACAGGAACCCTAGCTTCTGTAAAGCCAAAGCTTTAAGAACAGAAGGAAGACTGCGGAGAAACCCCAGATCAGATCCCAAGCCTTCACCTGCACCCCACCCCCAAATTAACTTCCTAGTTCTCTGAGTTTTCTCTTTGCGACCCTGACCCAGTGCTGTGGGCTCGTCTGCAGGAAAGCTGGTGGCAGTACTGGGCACTCTGCCTCCCCAATGCACACCTGGGTTCCCGGGCCTCTCCCATGGGAGCGGGCCGCTAGGACTCCCCTCAGCCCCGGCATTTTATGACCCATCTGCCAATAAAACATCTCCCCCTCTTCTGTTCAGAGCCATAAAACCAAACAGTGTGTGTGTGGGGGGGGGGGGGGGGGTACTTTGCCAAACCTCTAAGAGAGGGCCTGGTTCCCTGGAGGTGGGGGGCAGGGGGGTAGTGTGTGGGGGGGGACCTCACTGGGGGAGGGGAAGGGGAGTCCTTTGACCCTAGGGAGAGCAGGGAGTTTGGGGATGCTGGAGGGAGTGTTGGCCTGGATTTTCCAGGCCATAAAATTTCAAAGCAGCACAAGTCTATTAACATGTTCATCTTTCCTCTCTGGCCAGGGGCTTGGATGCCTGGGTTCATCCCCCTGCCCATGGATTTCTTTCTTTTCCTCCTCAGGTCTTCCTCTCTCTCCTCAGGTCAGGGTGCAGGTAGGGGCGGGCGAATAAGAGATGGAACACTGAGGTCTGAGCAGCCAAGCTGGTGCCGGGGACCGTAGCGCCGTGGAGCTGAGTCCTCTGAGCACAGTCAGTACCGAGGACGCACAACTTTCCGTCCCTTCGGGAGACCAGGTGTCAGGGGCTCCGGGCCGAGGGAGTGCCGGCTGGGCTACGTCCCGTCCCGGGGGAGAGACGGGGCTTTGGGCGCTCCCTCCTGGGAGGGGAGGGGGGCCCTCGGCTCCCCGGGGCCGGGGCGCGCTGCGGGGCTCAGGGTGGGACCGGGCGGCTCGTGGGAGCCCGGGGGGCGGGGGGACCGGTGCGGCGTGGGTGCGGGCGGCCGGGGAGGCAGCGGTCCCTGCAGCCTCCCGCCTCCGCGCTCCAGCCCCTCCGCGCGGCTCTTCGGGACTCGGCAGCAGCCCCCGCTCCTGCGCTGCGGGCGGCCCGCTGCTCCCCGGGGTCTGGCTCGCACCCCAGGGGGAGAAGGCGCAGCCTCGCCGTCCCCGGGACTCGCCGGCCCACCCCCTCCAGGGACGGGGCGTGCACACCACCCGCAGCTCCCTCCGCCGCTAGGAAACTTGCACGGAGCAGCCTCCGCCCCGGCCCGTCAAGTTTCCGCGGAAACGGCTGCGGGGCCGGCGCGCCCGGCGCGCCCGCCGTCCACTTACTCTCCTGGGCCATGCTGATGACAGTCTCCGTGGTGGCGTGGTACTCGTCCTCCTCCAGGAAGTCCTCGGGCTGCAGCGCGTCCCCCTGGAAGTCGTGCAGGTCCAGGATCTGCTGCAGCGGCGGCGCCTTGGGCAGCAGCTGCTTCACCACCTCGCGGCTGATGTTGGGCGCCTCCTTGAGCCGCAGTTTGCTCAGGATCTGCGACTTGATGCTCTCCAGGCGCAGCTCGCGGCTGTGCTGCCGCCACACGCACACCGGGCAGCCGTCGGGCTCGGGCGCCGCGGACGCGCGCTCCCCCCCGGCCCCGGCCCCCGCCGCCGCCGCCGCCGCCGCCGCCGCCGCCGCCGCCGCCGCCGCGGGCCCCTCGGCCGCCTCCCCCCGGGGCCGCAGCTCCAGGGCGAGGAGCAGGAAGCCCAGCAGCAGCGGGGCCGCGAGCACCATGCTGGAGGGGAGGGGAGGGAGCGCTGGGGGGCGGGGACGCCGGAGTCCCGCGGGGAGGGGGCGGAGGGAGCAGGGAGGGAGGAGGAGGGGGTCCCGGCGGCGCGGGGTTGGGGGCTGCCCGGCCGGCCGAGGGGGGGGCCCGGGGGGGCCGGGGGCGGCGGGCTCGCGGGCGGGGCGGGCGGGCGGCCGGGGCGGGAGGCTGGGGGGGCCCGAGCCCGGGCCAGGCCCTTTATAGCCCCGGCCCCCGTGTCGTCAGCGGCCGCGATTGGCTGCGGAGCCAACAAAAGAGGCCGCGCTGTCATCCGAGGCGAGAGAGGGAGCCGGAGAGAGCCGTGGAAGAGGGAGAGAGGGCGGGAGAGCGCCCGGAGACCGAGGTCTGGGGTGGGGGAGAGGAGAGGGGGACAGGGAGAAAGAGGGGAGAAGCCGGCCAGAGGGACGGGATAGGAAGGGCAGAGACAAAGGGGCGGAGGGAGTCAGAGGGCAGACCCGGGAGCAGAGACTTCGCTGGGGAGACGGAGAAGGAGCGGGACCAGCCGGGAGTTAGCGCCGGGAGAGTCCGCGGCACAGACGCGGGGAGAGGTGTGGCCAGCGGGGCAGAGAGGGGGGTCTGCTGAGCCCGTCCTCAGGGGGTCAGGTGTGCAGAGACGGGAGCAGAGGAACCGATGGGCCAGGGCCGGCACCCTGGGAAAGAGGCGGTGGAGGGCGAGAGGCTGACTTGGCCATACCCAGGAAGCCCCTGCGGAGGGCCAGGGAAGGCAGAGATGAGAAGACAGACTCCGGGGGAAGGAGAGACTGCACCGTGACAAGTCAGCCTGAGCGGGAGCGTGGGGAGGAGGGAGAGAGTCTCTGCCCAAAGGTCTTTAAGGAAGCCATGAAGGGGAGCATGGGGGGGGGGGGGGGGATCAGAAGGAGAGCATGGAGGGATTAGATTAGACATGGGGGTTAGCCACTAGGAGCTGAAGGGACAGGGACAATCTGGGAGGGTGGAGAGGTGGTTGGGAAGCCCTGAGACCAGAGGAAGACTTAGCTGGGGAGAGGCCATGAGCTTGAAATTGAGGCATGAAAGTGATAAGGTAATTAGCAGGTTGGAAGAGGCAGGAAGGGAGGGCCCCTGGGGAGGAATGGGAGGAAGCAGTGGCGAAGAGCACTGTGCTTGCAGAGGAATCTGCATCTCGGGGGGGGGGGGGGGGGGGGGGGTTCCAAGCTAAACTTTAGGGTCTGCAGGGACTTAGAAATCTGAGCAGGGGCCAGTCGTCTTAGGGGCAAGAATAAGAGAAAGATCTGCTCTCGGATGCGGATGCCCGAGTTGGAGAGACAGCAAGTTGTAAAGAGGGAAACCCAGATATGGAGCCAGTCCCCTATCAGTGTGACCTTGGGTACGGCAGAGGGCAGAGGGGAAGATTGCCGAGAACTAAAAGGCTCCCAAAGGGCTTCAATGCCTGGTCCTCGATGCCTCTTCCCAGGCCTCAGTTTCTCCCGGCTTATTTCTTGATTCTAAAGTCCTGGAGGTCAATAGACAACCAACAGATTGGAAATGTTTGGCTCAGTGGATAGAGTGTTGGTCTGTGGACTGAAAGGTCCCAGGTTCGATTCTGGTCAAGGGCATGTACCTTGGTTGTGGGCACATCCCCAGTAAGGGGTGTGCAAGAGGCAGCTGGTCGATGTTCCTCTGTCATCAATGTTTCTAGCTCTCTATCCCTCTCCCTTCCTCTCTGTAAAAAAAATCAATAAAATATATATATTTTTTAAAAAAGAAAAGAAAAGAAAATGTTTAGGAGACTGGATCTTGCTGGCTTCCTGGTACACACATTTACTAAACCAGTGGAAGAACATTATTGGGTTTCTCAGGCAGAACAGAGACATTGGGCTCCTCTCTGGATTAGAGCCCAACACGGTGTCTTAAAGTTGTCTTGATGAAACAGTAGGTCTGAGGAGAGTTGGACTGGGGAGGTGGAGTGGGGTGAAGGAATAAATTGATGGTCTAGGTGTGAAGATGCCAAGATAAATAAGATGGTCCCTTTCCTTAGGGAACTTATAGACTAGACAGGACACTGGATGAACAGTCCTGGCCAAATCTCTATCTGGAAGTCGCAAGGTGGCTCAAAGGTTAGACGGGAAAACTAGAGACCTTCTCTCTCTCCCCCTAAAATGCATCCCCTTCCTGATGTTTTTCCTTTATCGCGAATGGCATCCAATCATCCAGTCCATAAGCCTGATGTAGCCTTCATTTTCTTTCTCGCTCTATTTTTAAAAATATATATTTTATTGGTGTTTTACAGAGAGGTAGGGAGAGGGAAAGTTAGAAACACCGATGAGAGAGAAACATCAATCAGCTGCCTCCCACACACACCCCCACTGGGGATGTGCCCGCAACCAAGACACATGCCCCTGACTGGAATCGAACCCGGGACCCTTCAGTCCGCAGGCCGACGCTTTATCCATTTATCCCCTGAGCCAAACCAGTTCTGGCTCTCGCTCTATTTTTGAAATGTTTTTAGCCATTAATTTGAGAGGGGTGGGGAGAGTGGGAAAGGAGAGAGAGACAGGGAGAGACGGCGATTAGGTTGTTCCACTTATTTATGTGCTCATTGGTTGCCTCCTGTATGCACGCTGATGGGATCAAACCTGAATCCTGGCACACTGTGACGACAGATGCTCTGACCTGCTTAGCTACCCAGCCTCTTTCTCTTGACCACCTGAGTCTTTGTGCACAGAGTTGGTTCCTCTTCCTAGAACAATGCCCCTTCGACCTCACCTGTCCACACGCACACACAGTCTCTTGGCCACATTCCCTTTTTGCTCAGGTCTCAGTACAGATGAGATTTTAGACGCGTCTTCGGGAAGTCCGTTCCTGACTCCCAAGTTTAGAGTAGATGCTCCTCCTAGCTCATCTGGACCGTTTTGTGTGCCTGTGGGGTTAATCACAAAGCTTGTAGAATTAGGCTGCTGGGTTCGAGCTCCCGTTCTCCCCGTTTTCTTACCGCGTGACAACAATACTGTGTCTATTCCATAAGATTACGCAGATGAACTGCCTGACACACACTTCCAAATGAATTCATTAGTCATTACTGTTAGCCCAACGTACCACTTTACTTTCCCCCCCACCAAAGTAGTCTATTCTTAACGGCTTTGAATAAAGAATGAATGAACCTGCTGACTGGATCTGGTCAGAGCTGGGCTGGAAAGAGAAAACTGTATTTATGGTCACGAGGAGTCATGGGTACCTGCCAAATACCAGAGAGCAGGAATCAGGCACACATTCTGAGACAGAAAGATTTCCACCTTGCCGAGACCGGTTTGGCTCAATGGATAGAGCGTCGGCTTGGGGACTGAAGGGTCCCGGGTTCGATTCCGGTCAAGGGCATGTACCTCGGTTGCGGGCACATCCCCAGTAAGGGGTGTGCAAGAGGCAGCTGATCGATGACTCTCTCTCATCGATGTTTCTAACTCTCTATCCCTCTCTCTTCCTCTCTGTACAAAATCAATAAAAATATATTTTAAAAAAAAAGAAAAAAGAAAGAAAGATTTCCACCTGGTCTTCCTCCCCGAGGTCCAAGACGGCACTTAATCCAATAAATAGGGAAGAGTGCCACCTGGTGTTAGATTCTGGAATTGCTACTTCTTGGAATGGGACTAAAAGCCTTTTTTTTTTCCTTTTTGTTTTGAATTCCTTACATATTTTCACTTTTAGAGTTCCAGTCCAAAAGTTCTATATCCTACTGCATTAAGTCTTGTTCCTCTCTCCCTAGACCCAGGCCCGAGAGGGGAGCCCTGCCGCCTTGGCGGAAAAGGAGTTGGGAGAGATCTGAACCGCCAGCTCTTCCTCATCCCAATACCGGCTACCAGGGTTGGGGCCCCGCCCACTGCCCCGATCTCCCTGGCAACTGTCTTCCAGCCAGGGTGCCGCTCTTCCTGCGTTACCCAAGCAACCTTCAGGCCCGCCTCCTTCAAGGTCCTGACTGGTTCATAGAAAATGTGGGTCGGGACCTCAGGGAGGCATTGAGGTTTGCAGAGTGCGAGCTGCCGGAGGGAAGCGGGAGGGTTTCAGTGGGAGGGAATGAGCTGTCAGGAGCCGCTGAAGGAAAGAGGGGCTTGTGTAGCCCCGGTAGAGGGTCCATTTCACCCCCGGAAGGGCTACTGCAGGTTCTGGGCGCTAGTCACCAGGGCTCAGACCAGAGACACCTGGGCCACTCTCAGAGCTGACCCCAGAATGGGAACTCCTGCTTACCTTATCCCTTACCACGCAGGACACACACACACACACACACACACACACACACACACACACACACACACACACACACTGTGCAGCAGAGCTGGGCTCAGTGGGGAGTAACTCAGAATCCCTAGTTTTCTCCTAAAGACCCTATTTTTAGCGTCAGTGGACTCGTGTCCAAGGCATGGCAAGTCTTTCCAAGGAGGGGATGGGCTGTGGGTCGCTGAGAAGCAGCTGAGGGAAGAGGGGCTTCCCCGCGGGCCCCAGCATAGACCTCTGGGGGTGCGGTGTGGGAGGGAGGCCGCTCCGGGCTGGGGTGGTCTGTTGGTGGAATGGACCTCTTCCAGATCTCTGCCCACAAACCGGACCCCCCTTCCCCCACCCCAGAGGACCTCACTGTAATTACCATCCTCTCCACCCCACATGCTGAACCCTGTAATTATCCTGCCGGGATCCACCCTGCTACCAAGGCCCTCGGAGAAAAGTTGGAAGTTGGGAGGAGGGAGCCAAAGAGTTTGTGTTTGGGGAGAGGTGGGATACGAGTGGGGGACTCCCTGAATCATTTGGGGTCACATCTTCCTTTGCCTTTGGCCTTCTGGAAGACCCCCCCCCCCCACACACACACACACCATAACCTTCCACTCACCCTCTGAGGGTAGGCCCAGCGCTCCAATTCTTTCCCACCTTTACTCTCCCCATCCCAGGCCTACCCTCCTCTGCCTGCCTTTCTCACTACTGCCCCCTCTCCGGCCCCTGCTGAGGGCTGCTGGGGGGCATCAGCCAG